GTAAATTTAAGCCGGAAAATTTTGGCGGGCCCATACGCGGGTACCACGCTTACCCTGAGGTTGGGCTGAGCTCATTAGTACTTACTTGGACGGGGAACATACCCTTAAAATTACAGCTTTCTAGCATCTCAGATCTCTGAGTTATGAATTTACAGGGGAAAAATTTTGGCGGGCTCGCACGCGGGTACCACGCTTATCCGAGGCTTGGGTTTGAGCTCATTAGTACCTACTCGGACGGGGAACTCCCCTTAAGATTTCAGCCTTCTAGCTCTCCTGGTTCGCGAGTTATCAACTTACCCTAAAAAAATTTTGGCGGGCTCTTACGCGGGTAACACGTGGGTAGGACCACCCTTTTTGGGGATGGGGGCCCGTACGCGCATGTAGATTATGCCCCCAAAGTTTCAGTCCTGTAGCTTTCGCCGGTCTCGAGATGAAAAATCGGTACAGACGAACACACAGACAAACACAGATAACCTCTCGTCAACATGCGTTTCTGCATTGCACAGCTGCAAAAAGTGCAAAAAATAAAGGAAGCAGCGCGCCCAAGAAACCACAACTGCTTTCAATCTGTTTGCAGTCCAACCCAGTTCCACCAACTCAGGACCAGATCCATAAATGCAGTGTGCTTATCAGCCCTCATACTAACAAAACTACTGTCAAAATAAATAATGGTATAAAATCCCACTATAAAGAACTTGATGCAATCCAAAGCGGCCCGGGTGGTAGCAAGTGCCAACAGCATCTACCTGACAGCAAGGCTCTCTCTTATAACAGCTGCATAAAAGCAAGTTGGTAACTGTTCCTGACATGCACCCGTACTGATTTGACATCGAAGAACATGGTCGAATCATACAGAGATTTGCCGTTCTTTTGTGAAGCCGATCCCTTAATGTTCTACATAAGAGTGGGGACATTTACCAATGCACTACATCAGCTATCCTTCACATTTTATAACTCTAAGAACTTAGAACTCATTCAGAATTGTTGTTTTTCATGCATACATGTGTACATTATATCTACACATATTTATTATAATATATGCACCGTAGTAAGGGACCAAAGAGCTGGGTATGACCGTGTGAGTATATTTCAATAACACTACTAACACCAGATCCCTCATCGACCGTCCGGACAGTTCTACAGTCCT